AACATGGCTTGACTCTCCATTTTTAGATAGTCTTTAATGTCTCACAATAAAATCTTATGATTTTATTCCACAAGGACCTAGATGTATAAATCAGTAGATTTACTCTTAGGTACTTTACATATTTTTATTATACTTAAGGGGTATCTTATATTACTTCATTTTCTAATTATTTACTGCTGGCATAGAGGAACACAAAAGATTTTTGCATATTGACTTTTTTAATCCAACAATTTTGCTAACTTCTCTTATTAATTCTAATAAATATTTTGAAGAATTTTTGGATTTTTCTACACAAAATTGGAAAATGACAGTTTTATTTATTTCTAATCCTTTGCCCTTTGTTTCATTTTGTTACTGTCTAGGTCAGCATTGTTCAGTAAAATCGAATGTAAGTCTTAAATGCAGACCACAGGTATATTTTAAAATTAATAGCCACATTAAAAATTAAAAGAAGCAGATGAAATGAACTTTTCTAATACAGTTCATATAACCCAATGTATCAAAATACTATTCCTTCAGTATGTAATAAATATACAATTATTAATGAGATATTTTATGGTGTGGGGTTTTTTTTGTACTAAGTATTTAAAATCCAACATGTATGTAATTTGACTCTTACATCTAGATTCAGACTAGTCATATTTCAAAATCTCAGTAGTCACAGGTGGCTAGTGGCTACCATATTGGATAACACAGGTCTAGAATATTCTGTGCACCGTTTAATGAAAATGGGGATTGCAACCATCCTTGCCTTGTTACTGATCTCAAGGGGAATGCTTTCAACATTTCACCATTAATTAGGATATTTGCTGTAGGATTTTTGTAGATACTTTTACCAGGATAAAGACATTCCCTTGTATTCCTAATTTGCTACAAGTTTTAAAACATAAACAGATATTGACTTTCCTGGTATCTTTTGTGATAACAATATGTCTCTCTCTTTTAATTGTTTTTTTTTTTTTTTGCGGTACGCGGGCCTCTCACTGTTGTGGCCTCTCCCGTTGCGGAGCACAGGCTCCGGACGCGCAGGCTCAGCGGCCATGGCTCACGGGCCCAGCCGCTCCACGGCATGTGGGATCTTCCCGGACCGGGGCACGAACCCGTGTCCCCTGCATCGGCAGGCGGACTCTCCACCACTGCACCAGCAGGGAAGCCCCTCTCCTTTAACTTTTAATGTGGTGAATTACGTTTTTTTTTTCTTTTGCTTTGCAGTGTTTATTGCTAATGAGTGGTAGCATTTTCCCCAAGATTTTTAAATTGAGATGTAACTGACATATAATATTATATTATTTTCAGGGGAACAACATAATGATTTGATATTTGTATACACTGCAAGATGATCCCCACAGTAAATCTAATTACCATCTGCATATCGACCGACTTTCAAATGTTAAGCCAATCTTGCGTTTCTGGATGAGATCTGAGTTTGTCATAATGCATTATCATTTTTATATACTGCCTGATTTGGTTTGCTAATGTTTTGTTTAGGATTTATGTATTTGTACTCATGAGTGACATTGGTCTATGATTTTCCTTTTTTGTAATATCCTTGTCATAAAAAGAATTCCCTCTTTTTCTATAATGTGGAAAAGTTGGGGCAGGACTGAAATTTTTTCTTCTTTAAATAATTCATAGATGAAGACCCATTTTCAGTGAAGCCGGAATTTTCTTTGTGGGAACATTACTGATGATTGGTTCAACTCCTTTAATGGTCGTGCAGAGGTCTGATGTTCACTGGTGCCACAGAACGTCAGACTGCTAAAGTGCTGAAATAGTTTCACACCAGTTGGTACGTACCACCACTCCCAACCCCCTAAGTGCAACAACCCCTCCAAGGCTGCCCCAGATTCCCCAGACCTTCTAACGAATAGATCTGCTGACAAATAGATCAGAGAGTGAATCCCTGCATAGCCAGGGGGCTCTTGGGCTCTGTTCAGTGTTAGGGTTGGCACCTGTTATGAATGCCCAGTGCCTGGTTGTTACATCCTGTGGTACTATGACCAGGGATGGTGATCATTCAGGTTTCCTCTTGAATTAATGCTGGTAAATTATATTTTTCTAGGAATTAAAATTTGAAAGCTATTGTAATCAAGTTATGCACAATTATCTTTATCTTTTCTTTTCTTCGGTGTCCGCATACTCTTTAGCTTTTCATTCTGGTTATTGATGAATTGTGCCTTCTCTCTTGATCAATTTCACCAGCGGGTTGTCAATACAACTAGTGTTTTCAGAGAAATAATGTCTCTTTTGCTGATCCTTTTCATTATTTTCTGCTCTTAACTTTACTCTGTCCTTCCTTTTGTTTTCTTTGGTGTACTGTTCTTTTTCTAGCTTCTTGAGATGGGAGCTTACTTATTACTTTCAGCCTTTGCCCTTTTCTAATACAAGCATTAAAGGCCATAAACCCCTTTAAGTCGTGCTTTAGCTGTATCCTATAATTTTTAATATGTAATATTTCCATTCTCATTCAGTTAAAATATTTTCTTATTTCCATCATGAGTTCTTTTTTGATCCATCTCTTATTTAGAAACACACTTCTTAACTTCCAAACATATGGGGCTTTTGAAGTTATCTTTTTGTTATTAATCTCTGGCTTATTTGTGCTATGGTCAGAGAATGTACCCTATATGATTTCAGACTTTAGAAATTTCTTGAGTTTCACTGTTTTTGTAAATATTTCATATGTCTTGAAAAGGAGAGTATTCTGCAGATGTAGCCATGGTGTTCTGTAAAAGTCCACTAGTCAAGTTTCTTATTATTATCCTTATTGAATATATTTCTGCTTATTCTGCCAATTACAGAGGGATGTGTTTTTAAATCTCCCCTTATAACTGTGGATTTGTCTATTTCTCTGTGTAGTTCTCTTCTTCATGTTTCTTATATTTTAAGACTATGGTATTCACATACAAATTTGAAACTGTTCTATCTTTCTGGTCAGTTGGACCATTTTCATTTTGAAGTAACCTTCTTTATCTCTAGTGATGTTTTTTTCTGATACTAAAATACCTGCACCAGCCTTCTTTTCGTTAGCCTTTGAATGATACATATATTTTTTTTTACCGTACATTTACTTTCACCCTTTCAGTATCCTCATGTTTTGGAAGTGTCTCTTGTGGATGTCTCTTGTAAATTGCATATAGTTGGATTTTTATCCGGTCTGATAATCTTCTTATTTTAACTACAACAATTAGTCCACTTGCGTTTATTGAATTATAGTACATTTGAATTTATAACTGTCATTTATTTGTCCCACCTGTCTTGTATTTCTTTTTCTCTCCATTCTTGCTTGCTTTAGGATTGATTGGATTGATGTTCTCATTCTATTTCCCCCCTCTAATAATTTGGCTAAATATTATACGCTGCATTTTCATTCTTTTTGTTTACCCTGGTAATGACAACATGCAGTCTTAACTCATCAAAGTCTAAGTATATTTGATATCTGTTTTCGTTTTCCTCCTGAGGAATAGAAGGATCTTGGAACACTTTAATCCACTCACCCAAGTTCTGTGCCATTGTTGTTGTGTATTTTAATTCTATTTTTATCCAGAAGACATTGTTATTGTTTTATATTATCAATGTTCTTCATTGTTCTTTATTCCCTATTGCATCAGACCTCTGTCTGTGATCATCTTCCTCCTGCCTTTAGTCCCTCCGTTGGAATTTCCTTTAGGGAGGGTCTGCTAGCGTCAAAGTCTTAGTTTTTGTATTTGTAAATGTTATTTCCCTTCGTTCTGGAAAGACATTTTCACTGGGTACATAAATCTCGAAATAAAATTTCACTAAATTTCTCTCAGGGCTTTGGATATATCATTCTACTGCCTTCGGGCTGGCTTCCGTTGCTCCTGATGAAAAGTCAGTGTAAATCTATCTATCCTTTTTCTTTTTTCTCACCTGTACGCCCGACAGAGGCGTACAGGGGAACAGGAAGCTGTGGAAGGTTTTTAAGCACTAGGGTGACCCAGTTAGATGTGCATTTTAGAAAGCGGGCTCTGGCACTGTGGACACAGTCTCAGAGGGGATGGCAGTGAGAAGGTTGTTGCTGCGATCAAGAGAAAGGACAAGGGGTGTAGAGGGGAGGAAGTCAGAGAGGCAGGACTTGGGGTCCACGCAGGCAGGCGGTGGGAGCCGGCGGGGCACGGATGACTCGGGTTCCTCCTAGTGAGGATGAATGGTGGCGCGGCAGAGAAGACAGAACGAGGTTGGAGTGAACGGGGAAAATGAGATGGTCCCGGATCTCAAGATCCATTCATCCCACAAACAGTCGAACACCTACTACATGCAGAGCGCCTAGCGCGTGTGACTGGGGACTTGGGGCTGCGTGGCAGCGAAATCTGTCCCGCTGTGCACCTTAGACCCGCCGCGGCCACACCTGCCGCCAAGTACTGCCTAGCCGGGGCCCTCGAGGCAGCGGCCGCGCGATCCGGACGTCTCAGCACGACCGCCTACAGACGGACGGACGGACGGACGGAAGGATATACGTGGAGGCGCCTGCTCAGGGCTGGCAAACCACGTCGCTCAGGAGCCCGGATCTAGAGAGACCACTGTGCTGAGACGCCCGGACAGCTTGGGAAACCTTGGCCGTCCCCGCCCTCCTGCCGCCCAAGGGTCCGCGCCGCGACCCCGTCTATCCTTTGTGGGAGGTGAGGCAAATGGCCTCCCCGCTCTGCCCATGTTCTCATCTGCCCAACCGGGGCCATGCCGTTTCCGGCCCCTCAGAGTCACCGGGAGGACTTTAGGAAACACGTCTGTGTATTAAGATCTCGTCCCACCCCCGCGCCGACCGGCGCCGGCGCCAAATAAGTCCCGCGTGCTAGCGGATCCCGAGAGCCGCGCGCTACTGACGGCCCAGGCGGGGCGGAGCTCCAGAGGGGGCGGGACCAAGAGGGGGCGGAGCCGATGAAGGAGGGGCGTGACCTGCCCGGCAAGAGCCGAGCCCCCGCTCCGCCCCCGCCCCGCGCGCTCGCTCGCCGGCTCGCGCGCGCCGAGGAAAACGTTGCGCAGGTTCAAAAATGGAACGTCGGCGGCGTGAGGGAGCGCAAGGGGGTGTGCGCGCGTGCGCGTGCGCGTGCGCGCCCGGGCGAGGGTGACTGGGACCCCGCCGGCCCGAGCATCGCGCGCCGCAGCCGCGGCCCCGCAGCTCCGCCCCCGGCCCGGCCCGGCCCGGCCCCGGGCCCGCTCGCCCGCCGCCCCGCATGGAGCTGTCAGCCATCGGCGAGCAGGTGTTCGCCGTAGAGAGCATCCGGAAGAAGCGCGTGCGGAAGGTGAGGCTGCCCGGGGGCGGCTCCCAGGACCCCTGTGGAGTCCCCTCCTGTCCCCAGCACTGTCCCCTCCGCGCTGGAGGCGAGGGAGAAAGTGGAGCGGGGGTGGGGTGGGTGGGCAGGCAGCCCCGCGCTGCCGGACTCGTATCCCCAGCCCGTGCCTCAGTTTCCCCCACCACCTTGTAGAAAGAGTAGAATAAAAGTTGTCGCCCCAGGATGCTGGGGGCAGCTAAGTCCGCCAGAGCTAGAGGTTAGGATCGGACTGTATGGATCCTGAACGGCATCCTTTCTCATCCTCCCCTCATTCTAAATATGGGGAGACTGAGGCCCGAGTTGAAGAAACGGCTTGCCTAGTGTGTTCGCGTCGGAGCTGGGTCTCGAACTCAGGACTCTGGACTCTCGGTGCCAAGTCCTTTGAAGTTGGAGGCGGAGCTTTGGAAAAGCGTCCTCCCGCCTCTTAAGTCTAACTGCTGGACTTCGATCCCCTCCACACCCCCACCTCCACGTCTCTCCCCCACTTCCAGTGCACACCCCTCTGTCTTCCCCTCCCCACCTCCCAGCCCCGCCCGGCCGGCTCAGTGGAGCCGCCTACGGCGCTGGGGCATCCTCAAAGCTCCTCCCCCTTTGCCTTCGCCTCCAAAACATACACCCTGCAATTTAAGGAGGCGTCTGTTCTGCTAGGTTCGGTCCCCGCGCCTCGGGCCTGGACTTTGGCCGTGCACATTTCCTGTGCACACGTCTGCAAAGTGGTCTGGCCCCAGACTGGAGGTTGGAGATGGAAGGCTTTGGGGAAAGTTCCTGTCCCGGCACTCACCACTATCCTTTTCCCTTATCTCCTCCCTGCAGCCCCATGGGAGGCTCTAACGGCAGGGCTGGGAGGGGTCTTAGAGTTCACCTCCTCCCATTTGACGAAGGCACAAACTGAGGCCCTGGCTGGGGAAGTGACCTGGTCAAGGTCACACAGCAAGTTAGAGATGGGTGTAGAGCAGGAGCTCCAGTTGGCTGTTTGCCAGCTCATCTTTCAAGAGAGAAAACTCAGTCCCGGCATCTTGGGTGACATCTAAGGGTGACAGTCAAGGTGGGCCATGACCTTTTCTTCCCCAACTCCAATGGGGTTGAGCTCTGTCTTCAAGTTGGGGCTGCCCCTCCTCCTCCCTTCCCTCAGGGTTTCCTCGATTTGAATTTGTTCCTCAAAGCTCAATGTTTTCCATGCAGTGTAGCCTCAGCAGGTACAGTAATTACTCCCTTCTACATGGGGCCTGAGGGGTAGTGCCAGAGAGTGAGAAGCATCATTCCTTTCGCCATTCATTCAAAATGTATTTATTGAGTATCTCTGTGCACCAGGCACCATTCTAAGCCCCGGGGAGGGAGCTCCTTCCCTCGTGGAGCTGCCATTTTGGCAGCAGAGACACACAGTGAAAGAGGAAATAAATATAGATGCTTTCCAAGGGGGCCGTGTGCCACACAGAAAGAGAACTACTGGAAGGCGGGAGGGAGGGTGTTGGGAAGGGTGGCCAGGGCAGGCCTCATTGAGGAGGTGACATATCTTGGTCTTCAAGTTCCAGTGTGGAAGGGTATCACCCATCAGATGGGGTTGGACTGGGAACTTTTAAAGGCCCCTGTCACCTTTGAGGAAGGGAGGAACCTGCCTCTGTTTTCTAACTACTGGAGGGGCGATCACCCTTTCTCAAGGTGGAGACTTTGTCAGCCTTCTCCGGGGTCCTGCCAGGTTCTTTTGACTTGAGAGTGAGTTGAGTCTTGGAGTCACTAGCCTGTCACCTCTGGCCCAGAGGCAGCCTCTCACAGGGAGGGGGCTGATGGGGCTAGAGCCATGTGGGACATGCCAGGGAGGAGTATTCTAGGACTTGGAGAGTCTTCTAGTCGAAAAAGGAAGGAGAATTACGGTGTTAGCACCGGGACACTGGACGCTGGATCTTTGGCCACGCACATCCCCACACGGTCTGTTTCCCCACACGTGACATGGGCTCCAAGCTTCTGCCACAGGAGCCCCAGAGGTGTCTGGGGCCCAGTGCACTCCTGTGTTCTAGTAGGGAGGACCGTCTGGGGGGGTCAGTTTGAGGATCTCTGGTTGATGGGGATCTTGTGGGGGGCGTCCCTGACAGTGTGTATGTGTTGGGGGACTTCTGTCTGCAGAGGGGATTGGGCCTTACTGTCGTGCAAGTGGTCGTAGGGGCATCTGTGTATCTCACCGTGTCTACTTCTTCTCTCTTTCTTCCCAGGGTAAAGTCGAATATCTGGTGAAGTGGAAAGGATGGCCCCCAAAGTAAGGCTTCTTTGTGTGTTTCTGTCTGCCTACCTGTACATCCTTCCATCCACCTTTTACCCTTTCTCCTGCCTCACTTTTCACTCCAGCTGCTCTAGTAATTGGCCAGCAGACCTTGATTAATCATCCTCTTCTCTGGGCCTCAGTTTCCCCTCTGCCAGCTGAGGGGCTTGGAGCACATGAGGGTGAAGGTGGGCCCCAGCTTCTCATGGGCCCCATTCAGTGTTGCACTCCACCTTCTGGTGGGACCCTCTGCTCCCCTGCTTCTGGCCTTTCCCGGCACCTAGGAGGTGAAGGCCCATCATCTTGGCTTCAGAGATGGCTGCCTGCAAGGTGGAGGGGCACTCAAGCTGCAGCAAGTACAGTGCCGGGTGGGGGTTTGTGTGGTTGGGCAAGACAAGTCTAGCCAGTGGGGCACGAGTCCTCAGTGCCATATAGCTAGGGACAGAGCCCGCCTTTGGCCAGCACTCTCCAGTCTACAGAGCAGGCTCCTGTACAGCCTTGTGAGGCAGCTGTGGTCCTGATCTCTAAAGATGAGGAGACAGGCTCAGAGAAGGTAAGCAGCTTGGCTTAGGTCACACAGCAAGTGGAGGCAGAGTTGAGAGTTGAACTGGGCCTCTCCATCTTCAGGTATCTCTTCTGTGCCTCCTCCATCTCCCAGTTGCGGGGCCAGGGAGCTGGGTCTAGGACCTCTCCCAGTTGCCCCACCTCTCCGCTGAGGCCCAATCAGGAACCTTCTCACCAACCAATCACCTCCCAGCAGGGAGTTGTTGGTGGAGGGGAGGGAAGGAGCAGGTCGTGGGGCCTCCCCATTGGTCTGTGGGTGCCCCACCTCCCAGCCCTGCCTCCTAGAGACTGACTCCTGGAATCCCCCTCTGTCCAGAGCCCCTGCTGTCTGTGCCAGGGGCTTTCTGCTGTGCTGGCGTTGGGGGCTGAGCTGGTATTTGGGTCCTGGGAGTGTCTTGGACACGCGGTGGTGAGAAACAGCAGAGAGGAAGACAGGCCATGCTGCCTCAGCTTCCCTCTCTGCAAAATGGGTTCAGTAGTCCAGGCCCTGCTCTCTTCTCACAGGCTCCTTCACTTTGTGGGGTGAAAGGCCTGGGGGTGTGTTCAGGATGGCTGCAGGCATCGTGATGATTAGGGTTGGTGGCTGGTTAACCAGATAATGCATTCATCCATTCCTGCTGCCCCTTCCCAAACCCCTGGGACTGAAGGATAATCCCCTCCTCCACTGGGCAGATGAAGGTGGGCTTCTGGTCTGGGTGAAGGGGCTGGTAAGAGAAGGTGGAAAGCTAGAAAAGGAACATGTTCAAGGTGGGCATACTCCCTGGGTACTCGCTCCCCTCTTAGCTTCCACGCCAGAAGGCATTGCGTCCCAGCGGGACACCAGCCTGTTGGCCTTCAAGGCACCGTTGGCTAGTTTTCCTGCTCTGTAGACTCCCTTCTCTAAACAGAGGTTTTTATCTATTTAAACTTCCTTCCCCCACTTTTATTAATCCTGAATGAATACGTCTGCCCATCAGAGCTTCAGTCAGGGGAAGGACCTGGCATTCCAAGAGCAGTCCCTCCATGGTTCTCCTGGCCTGTGCCCCCGAACCTGGGGCCCACTTGTTTCCTAACATGCTGAGACCACCAGATGGGCCCTCATGACTGCTTTTTGTGACACTCCCCGCTCCAAGGGAGTTCTGGAAGCCCTGTTTGGCCAGATGACCTGGGGCATTTCTGGCTCCCCTATACTTTGATCCTGGGTTCTTGGCCTGGCTCACAGCCAGACAGCTGGGAGCCCTTTAGCAAGTCCCCAACATGGCAGGACCTCTGCTTCCATCTCCAAATTGGAATAAATCCTCCAGCACAACAGTGTTGTGAGGATTAGATGATGGATATAGGGTACCTGATGCATGCTTAGCCCAGACCAAGCACTTAGTGAACGTTTGCTATTAATAGTAAGTTACACAGCTCAGGCTTCTAGGTCTCCACTCAGCCGGGAGAGGGGTCTGGGGGCGTCTGCTCCTCACAGGGGCCCAAAGTAGCCTTAGGAATCATTGAGATCAGTCCTCTCATTTTTCAAATGGGGAAACTGAGGCCCAGAGAGGGGAGTTATATACAGTAATATAACTGCCAACCCGGTGCAGCATGGTGCCCACTTTATGTCATCCACTGTGCCACCCCGCTTCACTTGGGGGAAAACAGGTTCAGTCGCAGGGAGAATCAGGAGAACCAGGGCTCCTTTGTAACCCACTTGGTCTTCAGTCTCTCCTCCTCAGGGGGCTTTGCTTGAGGAAGAGGCTGAGAAAGTGGATGGGGAGTAGGTAGCTGGGCAGGCTGCCCGCTGCAGGCCTGGGAGCCTTGGCTAGGGCAGGGCAGTGATAGCCTGGGTGGGAGGGGAGTCAGATTCTCCTGCTCCCCAGCACCCTCCGCCCCCTGGGCAGGGAGGCTCATGTTAATAACAGAAGCCATGATTTAAACGGACACTCACTCTGTGCCAGGCCCCTGTTAAACCTTTGGGTTCTTTGCCTCTTTTCTCTCCCCAACAGCAGACAAATGACTGCCCTTCCTCCCCAGCAGATGGGGTAGAGGAGCTATCTTGCTTGTTCTGGAAGGAACAGCAAATGGCACAGGGAGGGGCTGGGGGCACAGGGCAGAGGATGTTAAATAATCAGCTACATGCTGTCAGCACCACAGAGATGCTCACACACCCCACTCTCATCTCAGCCTGCCCAGGACCCTGCCGCTCCTCTTTGGAAACGCTTTCTTTCCCTCCGTTCTTACCCACTTGTGAATGCTACGCCATTTGTGGGGAGGACCGCCTCCATAGAGCTTCAGTAGTGATATTGTCAGTGTATCAGGGTACCGCAATAACCAAGCTGCCTATCAGTAAGCCCCTATTAAGATCAGGCATTGGCCCCTGTAATTGCCTAACGGCAACCCATTGTACAGATGGGGAGACAGAAACCCTCAGCAGAGGCGTCCTTGCCCCAGGTCATAAAGGTGGGACGATTTGAATTATGGGCACCTCCATTTCCCCACCTGTAAAATGGGGCCCTAGCCTCATGGAGCCCTGTGGAAGGCTGCCTGAGACAAGAAAGGGTTCGTAACAGTGCCAGACGCGGAGGAGGCTCTTCTTTCTCCTCCAAGGCCAGGTTGAGTAGTGGCAGCACAGAGTCCTCGGTTTGGCCCTGGCAGGTGTGTGTTTGCGCTCTCCAGGCTTTTGATATTGATTTAATAAATGCTTGTTTGCTTTTATTATGTACCACACTGCTCTAAGTGCTTTATGTGGCTTAACACATCTAATCGTCACATCACCCCTAAAAGACAGGGACTATTGGTAGGTCCGCTTCACGGATGAGAAAACGGAGGCCCGAGCAGCGGAGTCACTTGCTCACCGCCGCCTTCGGGAGTCCGCTGCGCTGCTTCTCATTTGGGCGAATCTAAATCGGAGTCGGGGGCTGGGGCGGGCCTGGCTCTGCAGGGCGCCCCGCCCCCGGCACGGCGGGAGCCTACGCGGCGGGGCCCAGGAGGGGCGGCCGAGAGCCTGTTTACCCCGGCTCCGGTGGCGGGGGTGGGGCGGGGGCGGCGGGGCGGCGGTCACGTGGTCGTGTTTACCTCGGAGCCGGTGCGCGCCGTCCCCGCCCCCGCCCCGCCCCCCATCAGTAGGCCGGGTAATCTGGCGCGCACGCTCCCGCGCTGCGTGCGTGCGTGTGCACGCGCGGCTGCCCGACTCCGGGGGGCGGGGCGCACGGCGCTGCGATGTGGATGGAGCCTCTGTCCGCCACGCTTGGTTCCCGCCCAGCCGGCGGCCCGGAGACCTAGACCCCGAAGCCTCAGGCCGCGGGCCTCGCCGGCTGCGCCCTCCTGTCTTGCCTGTGCCCGGCTGTTCGCAAAGAGTGTTTGCCCTCGCTGTGGTCTCTGGCTTCCCACACTGCGGAGGGCCGCTGATGGCCCCCTGTTTAGGAGGGCCGGGGTGTCCGAGAGGGTGAGGCGCCTGTGCAACGCCCCGCCCGCCTTTCCGCAGCACCGAACGGGGCCAGGCCTCCAGCTGCCAAGTCTCTCCCTTTCTGTGCACCCGCTGTGTGCCAAGCCCCGGGTCAGACACTGAAGACGTGGCCAATCAGACTGTGCCCCTCTCCTATGGACGTTACAGCCCGGTGAGGGGCCATTTACCTCGACATGTGAGAGATCCAAAGGGAGAGGGTGGCCAAGATTCAACTGAGTTCTGACCACAGATTGGCCACTTCCTGGCTCGGTGATCTTGGCAAGATGCTTAACCTCTCTGCCCCAGTTTCTTCATTTGTAACATCTGTAACCTACCTCATAAGGGTGTTACAAGGAATGGATGCGTCCTTGCAGTAGTCTGCTCTGGCACCTTGCTGTTATGGTGGTGGTGGTGGTGATTCTTAAGATGAGGAAACTGAACTACAGAGAAGGTTAGGGACTTGCCAGGAACCACAGAGCAGCTGCATCAACAAAAAGTGGGCAGGGCAGTGGGGAAGTGGGCAGGGCAGAGAGGACTAGAGCACTGAAGAGAAACATCCACAGCTAGAGAAAAAGGGAGGGCCAGGCAGAGGACACTGGAGGAACACAAAATTCCCCCTCTCTTCTTACTAGTTACAGTCAAGGAAATTCAACCTTTGTCTGGGGGAGGGGAGGAAGGTTTGAAGTCTCTGCCAGCTTCTGGTTGCTTTCAGTGTGGGCTTTACCCAAACTATAAAAAAAAATCTCAGTTTCACTTTCAGCATTTCTCCAGGGTGAGCAAAACTCTTCAGTGCCTTCTGCAGCCATTCCCAGAACACCTGGGGGCTGGGGGCTGGGCTGGGCACTCTGGCGAGGCGTTACAGCCTGCCAGCCAGGACACCAGCTTGATTCGCCAATAAGGATGATTCACCAATAAGGATGGCAGGTGCCCAGTGCGATAATAGGGCCCTGGAGAGCAGCTGAGGGAGGGTTCATTCTGCTGGGAGTAGGACAGCTAGGAGAGGATGTCAGGAAAAGCTACAAGGACCTGATTCTTAAAGGATGAGGAGTTCACTGGAGGAAGGGGGCCCTCCAGGAGGAGAGCACAGCACGTGCAAAGGAAAGGAGCTGTGATGGTGCCTGCTCAGGCTGGGCGTGTGGCACTCTGGGCATGGACCTTCACTGCTGAGTCCACGGGGCCCAACACGAAGTAAGTGTGCAGAAGTGTCAGTGAAAGAAAGGAAAGAAGGGTTCTGTCCTTGGGCAGCTTGCTGTTTAAATATTGATTGGACTACTTTTAGGTTTCACAGTAACCAGGATGGTTGAAGATGAAGGTTTAAACTTGGCTGGTAGAAGGCAGCAGGGGCAGGGACTCTGCCTGGCCTCTCTCTGCCTCGCAATACCTCCCTAATACCTACTCACCTCCCTCTTTTATTTATTTATTTTTTGGCTGTGCCACGTGGCTTGTGGGATCTTAGTTCCCCAGCCAGGACTTGAACCCAGGCCCTTGGCAGTGAAAACTTGGCGTCCTAACCACTGGACCACCAGGAAATTCCCTCACCTCCCTCCTTATCCAGCAGTCCTGGGTGCAGTCTTGGCCAGAATCACAGTCCATTGCTTTGGTTTTGTTTATATACACCCAGGTACATACATCTACATATATATGTGTTTTTATGATTATATGTGTATTTGTGTGCATGCATATATATACACCCATACATATATATATATATATTTTTTTTAAACAGTTATCAGGACTTGGATTGTTTTTTAATGATTTTCTTTTTTTTTATAAATTTATTTATTTTTGGCTGCGTTGGGTTTTTGTTGCTGGGTGCAGACTTTCTCTAGTTGCAGCAAGCGGGGGCTACTCTTCGTTGCGGTGCATGGGCTTCTCATTGTGTTGGCTTCTCTTGTTGCAGAGCGCAGGCTCTAGGCACGCAGGCTTCAGTAGTTGTGGCACGTGGGCTCAGTAGTTGCGACTCAAGAGCTCAGGCTCAGTAGTTGTGGCGCATGGGCTTAGTTGCTCCGCAGCATGCGGGATCTTCCCAGACCAGGGCTCGAACCCGTGTCCCCTGCATTGGCAGACGGATTCTTAACCACTGCGCCACCAGGGAATCCCCATATATATGTTTTTATATTAAAAGTTTTTAATGTATTAGCATCTGTTTATGATGAGTCATCCTGGTTTTTCCACTTATGGAAGTCATAAAGAGTTTGCTTTTAAAATAAAATGTTTTAAAAAAGCAAGCTAATTTTTTTATACATAAATTTATTTATTTTTGGCTGCGTTGGGTCTTCGTTGCTGCGCGCGGGCTTTCTCTAGTTGTGGCGAGCAGGGGCTGCTCTTCGTTGTGGTGCGCAGGCTTCTCATTGCGGTGGCTTCTCTTGTTGCGGAGCATGGGCTCTAGGCACGCGGGCTTCAGTAGTTGTGGCACTCGGGCTCAGTAGTTGTGCCTTGCGGGCTCTAGAGCGCAGGCCCAATAGTTGTGGCGCACGGGCTTAGTTGCTCAGCAGCACGTGGGATCTTCCCGGACCAGGGCTCGAACCCGTGTCCCCTGCATTAGCAGGCAGATTCTTAACCACTGCACCACCAGGGAATTCCCAAGTGAGCTAATTTAAAGGCAGATACTAAGTAAATAATCGTGCGGGTGGAAGGAGGATGGCTGAACTCTGGAAATGCCCAGTTCTGTCCCAGCAGGGAATGCTGTCTGGCCTGGGAGTGGTGGAAGGTCCCTCGTGGAAAGACCTAAGGGCCTGCTGTAGGACACTGTACCATTCAGTCACTGAACATTTACCAAGTTCCTGCCGTGTGCCAGGCCCCACCTGAGAAGGGAACTTCAGACCTGGCCTTGATGGTGCAGATGTGTTCCAAGGAGGGGGAGGGAGCAGCTCAGCCTGGGCAGAGGGCCCACTGGGGCTGGGGCATCAGGGGGGCCAGGGATGGTGACAGTAATAAGCGCAGAGCACTTCCTGTGCACCAGGCGCTGCTCTAAACACTTAGATACGTGAACATGTTTAATCAGCACAAGAGACCTTTACAGATGGGGAAATCAGCATAGAGACACTGAATAAATTGTTTAAAGTTGTACAGCTAGCCAGGGCAGAGCTGCGGTTTGAACCCAGGCAGTCTGGCTCCAGAGCCGCAGCTCTTCACCACATGCTCTTGACTCTCATAGGAAGGGAATCCGGGGACATATGGGGCCTGCCCTCTTCACCTGAAGTGAACATGGGGATCTAGTCCGGAGTTGGACGCGATCACTTATAGGGTGGTGTGATCAGCGCTCAGAATGAGGGGAGTTCCGGTGTCATGCAAGCCCCCAGGAGGCCTCCGACCTACCCTGGTAGCCAGGGACAGTTCATGGGATTAGGTGACAGTTAACACTGGATCAGGAAGGGGCAAAGTCCTGCAGGCAAGTGGGCCTGGTGGAGCGGCTGCGGCCTCTGAATGGGGGGTGGTGGGGTAGGGGGCAGGTCAGCTCTGACCCCTTGTCTCTCTCCCCAGGTACAGCACGTGGGAACCGGAGGAGCACATCCTGGACCCCCGCCTGGTCATGGCCTATGAGGAGAAGTAAGGGGCTCAGCCTGCCAGGGGGCTGGGTGGAAGGCAGGCGCTGAGGTTTCATGGGCAGCTGCTGCTGGCTTGGCTCCGAACAGTGGTCACTGGGAGCAGGGTTCTGGCAGGGACTGCCGGGTCTCGTCCGCAGCTGGGGGAAGGTGCTGGGCACCAGGTCCCAGGGCAGCTGAGGGCCCTGTCCCTTTCCGGCTGCTGGGTGATGCCAGCCACTCCGCTAACGACCCCAGGCCTCTGTCTCTCTGCTGTTGTAGGCCACCCCCAACAGCACCTGCCCCGATTTCCCCAGAGGCAGGGCTTTCAATTGCCGTGAAGAAGGTGAAAATGGGCGTAGAGATGCCATGCGTGCGAGGGGCAGCAGTATTAATCATGCCCAGTGATGGGCCAGAGGGAGGTTCCCCCCTACAGATCCTCTACCATGTTTGATGAAGCTCTCAAGAAAGGCCAGGGGAGGAAGTGTGGCTTTGGAGCCAGGACAGCTGGGTTCCGGTCCCTCCTGCTTGGCTACCTCCTAGCTGGGAGGCCGTGGGCAAAGCTGCCCCCAGGTCTCAGACTGCCGCGTCTGCCAGTGCTCTGCTGCAAGTGCTCTTCCAAGGGTTGCTTAGTGATTGGCAGCTCGTCCCATGGGCCATGACGGCACACCTTAGCGGGGAGCTTCTGCCAAAAATGTTGTTTCTCCTGGTGGGAGGGCCTTTTGAGCATAACCTAGCCATTCCCTTCTGCTGCATGAGCCCCAGCGTTATTGGCCTCCCTGCCGGCAGGCTGCCCAGTCTTTCTGCCTCTCCCCAACCCATTGACCCTGTACAGTGCGGGACCGTTTTATAAAATCATTTTTATTTGGTTCCTTTTAGCAACTGCCTGAGACAGGGATGAGGGTCTCATCTGACAGATGAGGAGACCGAGGCTCTGAAGAGCTAAGGGGCTTGTCCAGGGTCCTCGCAGCTGGGAGGCAGCCCAAGTAGGACTTAACCTGGGTGGGGCTCCTGAGTCCCAGTGATGCCGTTCCTCTGCCCCTCCTCGCCCCCTGCTGACCGCTTTTCCCACAGGAGGTCTCCCGCTGCTGATTCAAAGGAAACGTTCCCACTGCTCTTTCCTTTAAAAATCACAGTGTTCCTGTCCCACAGCTTCTTTCTGGTTCCCGAGTGCTGGTGGGGCCTTGATGCAAAAGGGTTGTGACACTGAGAGAGCCCTGTGGAATGTCCTGGATTGTGGTAAGGAGAGCATTGGGCAGGTGTCAGAGGCCTGGATCAAATCCTGGCTCTTCCACTCACCAGCTGTGAGGTGCTGCACAGGACCTTTTTCCTCTCTCAGCTTCTCTGTCTGTGAAATGGGGAGAACAGTGCTGACCTCAAGGGCTCTCATGGGGAGGAAAGGCTTGTGAAAGCACTCCGCAAACCATTAGGTGTGGGCACACACGGGCAAATGTCTTCCTGATGGTAATTAGGGGTCAGCTAGTTCATTCTTTCATTTGTTCAACAAATCTTTATTGAGGTCCTACTGTGTGCCAGGCACTGTTCCAGGGACTGGGGCACAGCAAGGAACAAAACCAACAAACATCCCTGCCCTCGTGGGGCTTACATTCCCGTGTGGAGACCTGCAGTGAAAAGTACACCAGTAAATGTATAGATGCCGACGTGCTGCCTGCTGCACAGACAGGGTCAGGCCGGGGCCGCTGCTTTCAGTGGGATGGTTAGGTGGTGGCATTTGACCAGAGACCTGAGCTAAGTGAGGGAAGGACCCCAGTAGGTATTTTAGAGAAGGCCATCCAGGTGAAGAGCACCCCAGAAAGTGATGCAGAGATGGGCTGAGGAACTGCATGGAGGCAAGCGCGGCTTCGAGAGTGGCCAGCTGGAGTGGTGTGAGCTGGGCAGGGGTGGGGCGTCTGGGGGAGGGGCAGGGGCAGGGGCAGCTGAAGGGGTGGGCGTGCAGCTCAGGGAGGGCCCCGTGAGTCCTGGTAGAGGATTCGGATGTTGCTTTCAATGAGTCAGAAAAGTCCGTAGTTAAGGAACAAATGAGGAGCTTGGGGATTTCTACAGACCCACCGTGTGATTTGACTTCCTCTTTCTCTCTGGGTCTTGGTGAGAAGGAGATGGAAGCGGGGTGACGACCATTTTAACACCTGCTTTGCAGGGTTTTTAAGAGACTCAGAAGGAGTCGGGCCAGGGGGCTCTAATGGGGAGTCCCTGCATCCCAGGAGGGGCCAGTGGGGCACTGAGGGCTTGTGGGACCACGATCCCCACAGCCCTGGACACTGATGGGCCCTGGGTAGGTAAGGACTGGACAGAATGGAAGCTCCCTGCACACCCCCGCCCCCCCCACTCCCACGGTTGCAGGGCAGGAGCGGGGGTGCTACAGATGGGAAGCCAGGTCATGTGGCCTGGGCTGCCGGCCTGCCCCCCTGGCCCTGACTGGGTCCCCAGGCCTGATCTCGCCAGGCCTGGAGCCCAGAGCTCAGCATCTTCACTAGTGGCAGAAGTTGTCAGAATTGTGGCATTGGGCAAATGGCTTAACCTCTCTGTGCTTTAGCTATAAAATGAGGACAGAAAATGTGCCTCCCTCACAGGGTGGCCGTGAGGGTTAAAGCATTGAGAGCAGAGCCTTGTACAAAGTGTGCAGGACATAAAAATAATAATAAATAACACTTATACAAATATAATAAAGACATATTATTCTTATTCTTTTCCCTCAAGGCCCTTTCCTTTTTCCTCTCTCTACTTCCTCCTTCTCTTCCTCTTTTTTGTTTTTCTTCCCTCTCTCTTCCTCTTTATTATTTTAGTCTTTCTACCCCCCATTTTGAGAAATGCCGGGCACCTCTCTCGCTCCTCCCAGGGGCCCCGGGGACCAGCTGAGAAGGGAAGCTCTTTCTCCAGACTAGAAAACTGAGGGCCAGAGAGGGAAAGTGACCAGCCAAGGTCTCCTGTGGGTCAGGTAGAGCTGAGCCTGGAACAGGGTGTCCTGGCGCCCAGCCCCGGGCTCTGAGTTAAGGTTCGCACCCTCCAGGGCTTGGGAGGCCTGGCTTGGTGTGGGTATCCCACGCCCTGGGTGCTTCTCTCGAATGCTGGTTCTAGGGCCCCACGGCAGACCTGCCGAAGCTGACTCCGTGGGGAGGGAGGGAGAGCCCTCCCCCCAGCGTCCCTGGAGTCTGATGTCTGGAAGGGGGTGGCAGCCACTGCCTCGAGGAGGGACCAACAGTGGAAACAGGCTCCACGGATGGACTGGCTTAGCTTGGCTCAGACTGAGAGACTGGACCAAGGCCACAGACGGCATGTGTGGAATGAAGTGAAACAGAATGAAACTACTTTGAATTGTCCCATCACTTCCAGCACATTGTTGGCGTCTCTGGGGTGTTGTCTGGTGTGTTGTGTGTGGCTCTGTCTGCGTCCTCAGGTTGTGCCTTGTGTGTTTGTGATGGGAGGAAGGCATCCGGCAGAGAGTCTGGCATCTACTGGGGACTGAATGCAGGCTAGTTTTTCTCCCCTTCCCCAACCAGATGATACAGACGAATGGGGGCCTGTCCTCCCCACCAGGTTCGTGGAGATGCCAGACTGGGGGGCAGTTCTGGGCAGAACTTCGCTTGCGAAAGGACTCGTGGCCATTCTCATCAGTCCCCCTGGGGCATTCAAGGCAAATTTAATTAACAGGTTTCTGTAGACGTCTCCTAAGCGTGGAAACTGGAACTACATTGTTTTGGGGGCTGTTCCCAGTGCATATAGAGAAGAGGTCTGGCATGACCCTGGGGCCGTGAAGACCCACATATTTTTGGAGATGTCCCCCGAGTCCCACCTCTAGCAATTGGGACCAGTCGCTGTGCCCTCACCTTTAGTCAGGTGGGAAGATGCAGCCCTGGGAGTTGAACACACGACCCCATTGTTATGGTCTAAAGTGAGGAGCCCTACCCCAGGATTGGGGGGTGGCCTGTGGAGGGTGTCCCCCTCCCCCATAGACAGCAGAGAGCTGGGTGGAGCGGATGCCTTGCTTTCCCTTAAATGTCAACAGTGTTTCCTTTTGTTCTGCCATCTGCTTTGCACCCCAGGGAGGAGAGAGACCGAGCATCGGGGTATAGGAAGAGAGGTCCGAAACCCAAGCGGCTTCTGCTGCAGGTAACCCCACCAGCTCTGGTGCCCGCCCACAGGGCCCCCTTGCTCCTCCCACCAGCCCCTGCCCATCCGTGCATTTGCACTGGGTAGTTCTGCGGAACCACTAACCCTCCTCGGCTCCACCCAGGACACTGTGGGGTGGGGCGGGGCACTTAGTGGGTAAGTTTCAATGGGAGGAGTTGGGAAAAGTCAGAATGTGGGGCTGGTACCCCTGGAAGACACCGTGGGTGGAAGGTACTGTGGAGGGAGGGAGGGTGGGTGTATGGCTTACGGGATCCTAGAATTCTGAAAGCTTAGAATCTTGATGCTCCAAGTCCCCAAAATACAAAATTGTAGTAGTTGAGAATCTTAGAAGCATAAACTTTAGAAGAGGGAACAGGGGCGTCTGGAATTTTAGAATCCAAGCAAAGGAGATTCATAGAATTCTGGAACCACAGCCTTGGCATGGTCTAGAAATGTATCATTTTTTAAATTATTTTTAAAACTTTTTTTAATTTATTTTTTATTATTATTATTTTTTTAGCTGCGTTGGGCGTTGGTTGCTGCGCGCAGGTCTTCTCTAGTTGTGGCGAGCGGGGGCTACTCTTCGTTGCGTTGCGCGGACTTCTCATCGCGGTGGCTTCTCTTGTTGCGGAGCACGGGCTCTAGGCGCGCGGGCTTCAGTAGTTGCAGCGCATGGGCTCAGTAGCTGTCTGGGGTCTCTAGAGCACAGGATCAGTAGTTGTGGTGCACAGGCTTAGTTGCTCCGCGGCATGTGGGATCTTCCCAGACCAGGGCTCAAACCCATGTCTCCTGCATTGGCAGGCGGATTCTTAACCACTGTGCCACCAGAGAATTCCCTAGAAATGTGTCATTTTGAGTGAGAAGAAGCCCTCTGCCACGAGACTGGCAGCCCGTGTTACCCAGGTCTTGGGGACACTTTGCTACTTTCACTGGTTCGCACTGAAAAGAGGATGGAGTCTGAAGTGATGTAGTTATGTGATTTGAGGCAAATCTCTGAGCTTGAGTTTTCTCATCTGTAAAATCGGGATGATAAGAATACCTGCTGTCCTTAATTTAATAAGGCCCACCCGGGAATTTGAAGCCAAAAAATAAGGCTTCTTGGTCCACATGCAGTGTGAGCCATGTCCAACCTCCTGTCCATTCCATCGAGAGTCACACAGCTGGATTAAAACCCAGATCTGAGTCCTGGTGCTCCTGGACCCGTTAGTTAGTAGCTGTAATTCTCTCATGGTGAGGTAGAGAAGGACAGAACGGTATGAGAGTTACGAGGCCTGTGATGGTGTATGAGCCAGGCTGAAGGGGTGGGTTTTGATAAAGCTGCATATGGGATAAGCCCTCTTAGCACTGCAGTATCTTCACAGTCTCCTCCCAGTTCAGCTCTCCTCCCATCACCATGACAACCTGAACCCCATGCTGAGTGATGGGGATTAGCTGGTGGGACTGAGGAATGGAACTTGCACATGTGATCTCTGCCCCCAACTGGAGATGTTTGACCTACAGTTCCTATCTGCTGGCCTCACTCTCTTCCTGGGAACTCTTGGCCTCTGGTGACAGGTAGCAGGAGAAGCTACTGTCCCAGAGTGATCCAGGCCCCCCCAACATCTTAGCACCCAGGATCTTTCTTGGGTTTGTATAAATTTCCCCCCAAAGTCAGTAAGACAAATGCACAAATTATAAAACTTCGGTCTTTGAGTGGCAGAAGCACGCGCCCTCCAGCCCGTTAAGCAAGAAGGAGGCGGGGCAACAGACGTCTGGACCCAGCCAGGGCCCCCCTGCGGCTCAGAGCCCAGGAGAGTCCAGGGGGAATGGAGGGGTGTCTGCAGGCTGCTGGCAGACCTTCCTGTGGCTGGGTGACGTGGTGCACCCCGGTGCCACGTGTACCCCTGGTTAACTTTTCCCAGGAAGCTTCAGAGCCCCGTGCCTCACACCATTTCCCTAGCGAGCTGGCCGTTTCAGCTTTTGGGGGTCCTTTAGAAGCAAAGAGTCCTTCCCTGTAATGAAGAATAACTCCTTAATTTATCTGCCTCATAAATGCAGGTGTGTTTTTTGTTGGTCAGTTTTCACCTTGTACCACTCGTGTGCCTCCGCCATGGACCAAAGGAACGTGCCCTGAGGCCCCGTCCCTGAGCCACTTACAGGGCCCTGGGAGGCGAGGCCGCACTGTGAGGCCTCTTGGCTAGCTGGGCCAGGTCCCGGGGCTGGGGCTGGTCAGGGGGAGCGCTCTGGGCTGGGGTGAGGGGCGGGATGCCGGCTGGCTCTGAGCCCTGAAACACGGGGAAGAGGACCCCGGGCGGGAGGGCCAGCACGAGCAAAGGCGCGGCAGTGGGTGGGAGGGCAGGGCTGATCCGCCGTGCCCTGGCTTGCCCCCGCAGCGGCTGTACAGCATGGACCTGCGGAGCTCCCACAAGGCCAAGGGCAAGGAGAAGCTCTGCTTCTCCCTGACGCGCCCACTCGGCAGCGGGAGCCCCGAGGGGGTGGTCAAGGCGGGGGCACCCGAGCTGGTGGACAAGGGCCCCTTGGTGCCCACCCTGCCCTTCCCGCTCCGCAAGCCCCGCAAGGCCCACAAGTACCTGCGGCTCTCACGCAAGAAGTTCCCGCCCCGCGGGCCCAACCTGGAGAGTCACAGCCATCGACGGGAGCTCTTCCTGCAGGAGTCAGCGGCCCCGGACGTCCTGCAGGCGGCCAGCGAGTGGGAGCCTGCTGAGCAGCCCCCTGAAGAGGAGGGTAAGGCGGCCCAGCCCCGAGGCTCAGACCCAGGGACCCTCAGAGCTGGAAGGGTCCCTCGAGTCCTCAGGTCCAGTTGGTCCAGTGCCCAGAGAGGGCCTGGGCGCTCCTGAGGCCACATAGCCTGCAGGGACCCTGGCACCAAGCCCAGAGCTCTTTCCGTGGTCCCACTCGGGCTGAGTTCATGTCCAGCCAGGGAAGGTACATGTAGTGACGTCTTCCTGTGTGTCCAGCCTTGAACTAGGCCCTGACCTGGCTGGAGACTCAGAAGAAGATCAGGTGTTGGGGGTGGGGTGGAGGTGGTCGACAAGCTGCCACCCACGCCCACCTTCCCCACCTTGTTGCCAACGCTGTCCCCCATCTGTCTGTGTGTCTTTGTCCCGTGGCTGCAGCAGACGCAGATCTGGCCGAGGGGCCCCCCTCCTGGACACCCACGCTCCCCTCAAGTGAAGTGACAGTGACCGATATCACCGCCAACTCCATCACCGTCACCTTCCGCGAGGCCCAGGCAGCTGAGGGCTTCTTCCGAGACCGCAGCGGGAAGTTCTGAATCACCATTTTTACTCTTCTTCAACTGTTTTCTTTTGGGCTTGGGGTGGGGACTTCCAGAAATGGGGAGGGGTTGGGGTGGGTAATTATTTTATTTAAAGAAACATTGACGAGGAGAAGGGGGGAAGATCCCAGCACTCTCCCACCGCCCCGCCCCTTTCTCTGTGCGGACGTTTACAGGGCGGCCTTGGGTCTGTGTCAGGGCCGGGCCTGGGGAGGCCTGGCACTGCTCTGTCACTTGGGGTACCATCTCCAGGGTAGGATGGGGACAGGACCAGCCTCCCCCGGACACCTCCATCACCATTCTTCTCTAGAGAGACAGCAGCTGGTCCCCAGGACTAAAGGAGGATGGGAAGGCCTGAACCCTCCCCTTAAGCAGCCCACCCCAGCCTTTCTGGTTGGTTTCCCCTTTGCCTTTTTGTGTGTGTGTGTTTGGGGAGGGGTCTTTATTTTTAACTTTCCACTCCAGCTTTGCGGGGGGACATGGAGGCTGGCTTTGACCAGAAGTGATTGGGTCACAGAGCTAAGGGGCTGGGAAGGGTTTGACATTGCTGGGCACGTCCCACCCCTTCAGAAAGGTCTCTCCTTTCCCCTGGGGGCAGCTGCCAGCTAAGCCCCTTCCGCTGAGAGCCACCCGCCCCAGCTCCATTGCCTGGCCCGTGCAAACTGCTCACTTGCCCACCCAGCCCTGCAGGTGTGTGCACACGGCCCCTCGCGCCCTCATGACTGCATGCGCCGGTCCGCAGACGTGTGCAGCGGGTCTTGCAAGCCTCCTGACCGGGTGGACGGGGCGGGGTGGGGGGGGAGTGATTCATAGCACAGAAGAGCTTGCTGTAGGCAGCCCCGCTCATCCCACCTTGCACAGCACTTCGCCTGACAGGACCTATCCGAGTCAGCGTGGATAGCTGTCAGTGGAGGGCAAGGCTCCGGCCAGGGGGCAGCTGGATGGCCTCCGACGCTCCAGGCGTGCGGATGAAGTCTTGTGGTGTCACCTGGGTAGCCACGGGCGTGCAAGCGTGTGCATGTGTGCTGTGCAACGGCGCGAGCTCTGAGGCACTTGTGCCCTGTCCCCCCACCCCCGGGGCTCCTGTTCTCTCTGACTCAGGTGACTTTCCAGCCCTTCTGTCTCCCCTCTTTTTCTGCCCTCCCCTTCAACTCAGCCAACCAGACATGGGCGTGGGTGGTCAGGGAGGGAGGAAGCGTCCCACCACCTTCTCAGGGCAGCCCTCGACTCCTGACACCCTTCCTCCTTCCATTCTGGGTCTCCCCCGCATCCACCCTCAGTGCTGCAGCTGGGACTAACCTTGTTTCTCTGCGGCGGGACCTCTGCCATGTCTTCCTGTGGTCGGGCTGTAGTGGGTGATGGGTCAGGCTGTGCACGAGCCCCCCACCCTGGCAGGGGCCTGTGTCTGCCAGAAGAGGGGCGCTCCGTTTCTGGTTTGCACAGACGTGCCCTGTGGACTAGTGGCTCCCCTGGCAGTAAGGAGTGACTTCTCCCCTATCCTGGTCCTGCAGGGGAGAAAAAGCCAGATTGGGGGTGGGCCCCAGGGGAGCAAGTGAAAGGCTGGCCCCCTCGCCTCTCCCCATTGTCAGACCAGGCACTCAGGTCCCTCCCCCGGGGCTGTCTCCATGCTCTGCTGTGTCCTGAGGAAGTGGGCAGAATCCTGCTGAGGCTCGACTAGGGCAGTTCTTCCCCCAGACTCTTCTTCCCAAGTTCCCAAACCAAAGACAGCCTGCACCCCCTTTTTGTTTGGGGTGCCTTGCTGGCAAGATCCCAGATCCCTGAGTGTCTGTCTCCCCTTCCTCCTTAATCCTTCGTTGTCCAGGGTCAATTCAGTGCTTCCATTGGGGGATGGCTTCCTCCCCACCACCCCATGACTTGATTCACCCCCAGGCTAGGGGGTTGTGTCTAGGGGAGTCTGGGGGTGGACCAGGGAACGAAGGGGCAGTGGGGAACCTCCCCAGCTGCGGGACCCTGGGGAGGGGAAGGGCAGCCTGAGTGGGAAGCTGTCCCAGATCAGGGGCTCCCGGCAGAGGGGAAGGTGGTGGGCAGGGGTGTCGCGCTGACGGAAAGCTGTGGGCCCTGGCTTGGGACTCGGCTGGCTTCAGCTTCCAAAAGAAGTCACACTCCGCAGCCCCAGGGGACACGTGGCCTCTCCTGCCTCACTTTGAAGAGCTGTTTGTGTAGTTTGCGGGTCTGGGGCCTCTCTTGTGGGGTGAGGCAGCTGCCACAGAGGAGCACTTCTAGCCTCTCTCTCAGCCCTTCACAGCCCGCAGGGCGCCCTGCTCTCTGGAGGGCCGGACCTGGGAGCGGAGGCTCCCTGGGGGAAGGGCTGCAGGCTGTTAGGACCTTCCTGCCCAGGACCCAGGACGGTGACCTCTGTGAGGGGCTGGAAGTGGCCTTGCAGGACTCCTCCAGCCCTGAGCGTCCCAGAGGGCCTTGGGGTGAGAGGGGGCAAGGTGGGCACGACCTCCCACCCCACTGCCACCCGAGAAGGCCAGTACTCACTTGGGGGTGGGCGTTGAAAAGGTTGGACCACCTGCCTTTCCTTCCCCCAGCCCCACCTGTTTTGAATGTAGAGAGACCGGTTGGTACTTTTCTTTTGCTGTGGGGTGGGGCGAGGGGCATATTCTCCGCCCGTGGCGCGGCCACTCGGGAATCACCGCCGCTCTTAGGATGGTGGTCCCTCCACCAGCTTCCCCCTGGCTCCTGCCCTGGGGGAGGGCGCTTGGCTTGTCAGGTGGTTTCGCTTTTGCTTTATAACTGGCCAGCCTGGCCTCCGGGTCTCAGCACAAGAACGCTTCCTTTGCACAGAATGAGCGTCGAGCTTTGTTCAGACTAAATGAATGTATTTGGGAGGGGTTGGGGGCGCGAGTCAATTCCAAGCACACGCCGTTTCAGAGTGAGTGTGTGCGGGGAGAGCTAGAGCAGATGCAGAGCGTGGTTTTATTTTTGTACTGATATTGGTAAGAGACTGTATAGCATCTATTTATTTAGATGATTTATCTGGTAAATGAGGCAAAAAAATATTAAAACTACATTAAAGATGATTTTAAAAAAAAGCTCTTGGGCATCTGATCATTGCTTGTGATGGTGTCACAGCTGTGCCGAGAAAAGAGCTGCAGCCCTGGGGGTGAGCCCTCCAGACCTCCCAGGCCCCCCAGAGCCATCTTGGCAGTACACGGGGCTGGCGCCAGGTGTCCTTGTCAGCTTGCCAAATCCTGAGACATGGCGATGCTCTCATGTCCATACAGTCTCCCTGTCTGGTTAGTTTTCCCCTCAAAGTTGCAAACCCTCAGATCCAGCCCCACACGTGTTCTTGACACGCCTGTTCCTGTGTGTCTGTGGGTCTCGCACGTCTTCCGGTGGGTAAGTTATTTCCTCCTGGGTAAGGAGTGTGCTCCCTGCCTGGTCAATGCTGGGAAAAGGAGGGGGAGGCGAAGGTGGATTGAGAAGGAAACGTGCGATCTTGAGGAGTATCTGCCTCAGGTGAAGCCCTTACTTGGTCACCAGGTAGTCAGCCGTCTTCCAGTGCCAGCCAGAGAGGTCAGGGGATTGTGGTGGGCAAGTTTCTTGGGCCCGTTATCCCTAATGTTTTCATCCCAGGGCTTCGAGCTCTGCCTCTTCCCTGTTGGCCCTCAACTTAGCATAAGAGGCCCATGAGGCAGTGTGTTCAGTCTCCTTTGCAGCTCTTTCTCTCTTACAACTAACTGTCAGGCCCCATGGCCAGCAGGATAGGCCCCGTGGGTGCAGGAGGTTAGGGGCTCTTTAAACACTCTCATAAATAAAATACAAAAAAAATATGATTGATATACATACATGGAAAGTAACTCTACTTTCCAAAACAAAAAGAAACCTAGAAGAGGTCTTCCCCGGTGGTGCAGTGGTTGAGAGTCCACCTGCCAATGCAGGGGACGTGGGTTCGTGCCCCGGTCCGGGAAGATCCCACATGCCGCAGAGCGGCTGGGCCCGTGAGCCATGGCCGCTGAGCCTGCGCGTCCGGAGCCTGTGCTCCGCAACGGGAGAGACCGCAACAGTGAGAGGCCCGCGTACCGCAAAAACAAAACAAAACAAAACGTAGAAGAGGCCTTCTGGCTTTCACAGCATGGCCTGAGCGGATAGTGGGCTGACCTGGGGCTGCCATTCCCTTTATTCAGGCTTTTACACTGAGCCGACTCTATATTCAGGGCTAGAGCTGTTGTGCCAGTGCTTCGTCTGCAGCCCGTCCCAGTGCACAGGTGTGGTGAGGCCGCAGCACGTCAGGGATCATCCCAGGGTCCCTGTTGCTGTCTGGTGGGGGATTGGGGTGCACATCCCACCCTGAAGATCCGTCTCTGAGACCCACGTGCAGGACCTCTGTCTTAGCTTCGGTTTCTCTCATGGGTTGAATTGTGTCTCCAGAGCCAGCCCCACCCCCTCACCTCCCAGAATTCATATGGGAAAGTCCTAACCTGCTTCAGAATACGACCTCGTTTGGAGACTGAGTCTTGACAGCGGTAATCAAGTGAAAATGATGCCATTAGGATGAGCCCTAATCCAGTGCAACTGGTGGCAAATTTAGGCCCAGAGACAGACATAGAAGGAAGGTGATAAGAAGAGACATGGGAGGAAGATGGCCAGCTACCAGCCAAGGAGAGAGGCCTGGAACAGATCCTTCCCTCACAGCCCTCAGAAGGAACCAGCCCTGCCAACACCTCGATCTTGGACTTCCAGCCTCCAGAACTGCGAGAACATAAATTCCTGTTGCTCAGGCCGCCCAGTCTTAACTTTGTTACAGCAGTCCCCGCAAACTGCTACCGCATCCATGAGCGCAAGAGTCTGGGACTAGGCTTGGGGGCAGGTCTTTTGGAGGTGGAGTAAGGACTAGGGGCATTAGAAGGACTCCGACATTATTTTTCAAATGGAAGCCTGATTGCAACACGGCACAGCTTGTGTGAGGGTTCTGTTTACCCCTCCCATCTGCACTGTATCCCCTTGAATGGTTCCTTAAGCTTAGACCAAGGTGAATGGTGGACACGTGAACTCTAAGAAATAAAAATCAAAACATGTCATTAGTACTATATTTTCCTTTGCTTAGAACTTTAGTATATTAGATGTAGGGAGAGCCTTAGTGATCATACGATAAAGAAATTGAGTTCTGAGTGAATGTAGTCAGCTGGTTCAGTACTCTTGTTTTACAGATGAGAAAATCGACAGTGCTAGTTGAACTCTTTTTATAAGAGGAAAATGTGGCCTCATTTTAAGTAAAAGTAAAGTTGAAAAAAAAAAAAAAAGTCCTTACTCCTAGGGGGCCGGAGTAAGCACTGGGGAGAGAGGGACAGGGAAGGAGGAAAAGCCAGGATAAGGTGTGCCACTGAGGTTGATGCCGTGGGCAACAGGGGCTTGATTCCACTCAGACTTTGTGAGAAGCATTCCAGTGCCCCCCCGCCCCCTGCAGATTGTCACCCCGGAGGACCGGAGACGGGAGTGTTTATCTGCAGGCTCCTGTCCCTCATTGGCAAGGGTCCCAGGGTCACTGACTCCCTTGTACCTAGGAGCTGTGTTCCTACAGAGATCAAGGGCATCAGAGGAGTCCGCGGGGCGGGAAGTGAAGATGGACCATCTACCCTCCACGGCTAAAATCAGAGAGGAGGGCGAGAGGACGGGAGCTGAGCAACCAGAAGGAAGAAAGCCGATCCAGTCAGTTTTTCGTTCTGAGTTTAAAGTGTTGGTGGGCACATAAGTGGTAGATAAAGCCACAGGGTGATGGCAGGGGTCCAAGGTCAGGGTTGGTTGGGAAGAGGCGAGAAGGCAGTGGGTGGGCGAGCTCCTGCTGCCTCTTAGTTCTTGCCCTGGGGAGAGTCTGGCCTCTTCCCTGGCAGCTCCTTGATAACTCCAGTTAGAGACTGGAGGACTTAGCAGGCCTTGCCCTCAGCTCTGAGCTGTCACCCTGATTCTGGGTCCCCAAGAAAGGTCGCGTGGGACCCTGGTACAGATGCGCAGCCTGACTCTCAGATGTGTTACCTGAGCACAAGCTTCTGTGGTGGCACCATTACTGCACCCACTTTTACGCGTGGGACAAACAGAGAGGGTGTGGTTAGCTATTCAAGTCCGCACAGCCACGTCGCAGGGAGTCAGGAATTTGAGCCTGTGTCTCAGTATTAATCTCTCCACAAGCAGTTCTCAAACTCTTTGGTGTCAGGACCAGTTTAGAGTCTTAAAAGTTATTGAGAAGCCCACAGAGCTTTTGTGTACGTGGGTTATATCTTTCAATATTTACTGTATTAGACATTAACATGGAGAAATTTTTAAAATATATATTCATTAAAAAATAATATTGACCTATTACATATTGATATAAATAATATTTCATGAAAAATAATTACATTTTCCAAAACAAAAAAAATTAGAAGAATTGCCATTGTTTTTTTTTTTTCAAATCTCTTTCATGTCTGGCTTAACAGAAGATAGCTGGGTTCTCGTGTCTGCTTCTGCATTGTCTGTTGCAATAGCCCATGGTATGTAGCCTCTAGAAAATTCCACCATACACTTGTGAGAGCATACAGTGGGAAAGACAAACAGTATCTTAAACATTATCATGAAAAGCTTTTGACCTTGAAGACCCCTGAAAGGGCCCTGGGGACACCCAGGGCTCCTTGGTCCATGTCTGAGAGCCACTGCTCTTCTTGTGAGCTCTGTGGTGGACGTCTGGGCCGAGGTCTGGTTCTGACTCTTCCGTGGAGTCATGGGGGCAGCCTCGAGGTTTCTCCTGGTTGGGGCCTTCAGAGAGCTCACTGTGAGTGACTTTTTCCAGAGATCAGCTGTCAACATCCCACCTTCGTTCCTCGCTGCCTTCTAAAAGGAAAAGCCAAAGAACAAGAAAGAAGGCCAGCCGAGGAAGAGAAAAGATGGACGAGAGAGGAA